CCTGTGCAATTTCTGTGGGGCTGGAGCACTGGGAATGTGAGGCTGGAATATTTGGGAGCTTCTTTGTGATCTGGGATTGCTCTGCTCGATGCCCTGTGCAATTTCTGTGGGACTGGAGCCCTGGGAATGTGCAGCTGGAATGTTTGGAAGCTCCAGTTTCTGATCTGGGATTGCTCTGCTCAATGCCCTGTGCCATTTCTGTGGCACTGGAGCAGTGGGAATGTGCAGCTGGAATATTTGGGAGCTTCTTTTTGATCTGGGATTGCTCTGCTCAATGTCCTGTGCAATTTCTGTGGAGTTCTGTGGGGCTGGAGCACTGGGAATGTGCAGCTGGAATATTTGGGAGCTCCAGTTTCTATCTGGAATTGCTCTGCTCAATGCCCTGTGCAATTTCTGTGGAGTTCTGTGGGACTGGAGCACTGGGAATGTGCAGCTGGAATATTTGGGAGCTTCTTTTTGATCTGGGATTGCTCTGCAGAATTTGCCCTGTGGAATTTCTGTGGGGCTGGAGCACTGGGAATGTGCAGCTGGAATGTTTGGGAGCTCCAGTTTCTGTCAGGAATTGCTCTGCTTGATTTCCTGTGCAATTTCTGTGGGGCTGGAGCACTGGGAATGTGAGGCTGGAATATTTGGGAGCTTCTTTGTGATCTGGGATTGCTCTGCTTGATTTCCTGTGCAACTTCCAGGAGTTCTGTGGCACTGGAGCAGTGGGAATGTGCAGCTGGAATATTTGGGAGCTTCTTTTTGATCTGGTATTGCTCTGTTCAATGTCCTGTGCAATTTCTGTGGAGTTCTGTGGGACTGGAGCCCTGGGAATGTGCAGCTGGAATGTTTGGAAGCTCCAGTTTCTGATCTGGGATTGCTCTGCTCAATGCCCTGTGCCATTTCTGTGGGGCTGGAGCACTGGGAATGTGCAGCTGGAATATTTGTGAGCTCCAGTTTCTATCTGGAATTGCCCTGCTGGTGATTTTTTCACTGACCCTCCACGACCAGCCCTACCTCACAGAATAAACTCCAGATTTTTTCTGAGGCTCCTTTAAAAGTGGATTTTTTTTCCCTTTCTGCTGTGTTTATGCTCTTCCTGCAGCTCATCCACACTTCCCTTTTTCCCTGTTTTCCCCTTCCCAGGGTACAATGCTCCAGGCCATCGAGAGGTACATGAAACAGGCCATTGTGGACAAAGTCCCCAGCGTGTCCAGCTCTGCACTGGTGTCTTCCTTGGTGGGTAAATTTGGTAAATTTCACAGATTTTGAAAATCTGGTGGTTTTTTAAAGGCTGGGAAGGTGAATCTGCTGCCTTTGTTTTGTTTTTTTCCTCTGAGGTGTCTCTTTGTTTGACTGGAAAACAAGAAAAAAATATATAATGAAAAAAAATAATCAAAAAACAAGAAAAAAAACCCCCAGATTTTTCTTTCTCTCCTCAAATTCCTTTCTTAACATTTGAGTACATCAATCATAATCATTTCTAGTGCAAATTTTTTAGTGCAGCCTAGTGCAAAATGCTCCTATTTCTGCAGTCAGTGTAAAACGTGAATTTATCTGGGGATAAATGAAACCAGGATTATTTCTGCTCAGAGACTCCGGGAGGGTGAGATGAAGGAATCCACTCTGATTTCCTCTCCCTTTTTTTAGGAGAAAAGGCTGGGAAAGATCTCATTAATTAATATTTTTATTAATGGAAGTGGAGAGTGGTAATTTGAGACCGAGACAGAAGGAAATGCACAATTTTTAGGGTTGTGGGATAAAGAGTGGCTGGGAAACTGCTGAGAGCTTGTCCCCAATCTCAATTTATTTTACAGCACATGATGAAAATCAGTTATGATGTGGTCAAAAGGTGGATTAATGAAGCTCAGGAAGCAGCTTCCAGTGACAACATCATGGTACAGGTGTGTTTGAGGCTGTCTCTAAAAACTCTGGTGGGGCTTAGTGGAATTCTGTGAGTTCTTAAGAAAAAAAACCTTATTTTGTGTAATCTTTTAAAGGCAAAAATTGTGATTTGTGGGCATTTTTTCCAAAAAAATAATGAATTTTTCCATGATGCCAGCACAAGATTCTTAATTAAGAGCTAACTTTGGAGTTCTCTTCCCTTTTTCCTGCTAAATTTTTGGTGGTTGGAATGCTGCTGCCCATCCCACGGTGGTTGTTGCAGAAAGGATTTGAATCAGAGCACTCAAAAATCTTGGGAAATTCTCTCACTGCCTCCCAACGAGGGCAGAAAATTTACCAGATGCAAAAGGTGAACCCAAATATCATGAAGATCTCCACAAGTGCAAAATTTTTGCACAGCTGTTGCAGACATTTATGGAAATGGAATTATTCTGTCTGTTGCAGGCTCGTGATCAGAAATATTCTGTAAAAAATTCAGCTTTGTTCTTGCCCACTTAGCAGCTTATATTAAACCTTGCAGGAAATTTGTTTTATTTTTTTTTTTAATCGGTTTTATGGGGGGGAAAAGAAAAACAAAATAACTTGGCAAGGAGCTAAAAGCATTTCTTTGTACTTCCAACAAAAAAAAAAAAAAGGCCTGAAGGATTTTTGTGAGGTCAGCTGTCATTTCAGGGCCTTGGGATATCCTGGGTGTGGAGGTCATTAAAAATGCTGGAATTAGAAATTACTGTGCAAAGCTGAAACCTTTGAAGTGATGATATTTAATGGGGGGGGGAGAAAAGGAAATCAATTAATTTGTGGCTCTTTGGATCTTCAGGAATAGTTGAGAGCGGACAGAGAGGGCAAGGAAACTTTGCAGCTTGTCAGGAAACTCAGCTCAGTTGAGGTTAGAAGGTATTTCTGCCAGGAAACAGCAATAATTACCCATTTCTGCAATAATTACCCCTCTTTTGATGTTTTCATGTGGATTTTGCAGCTGTACTCAGTGCCTGCCCCTCTGTTTCCCATCCCCTAGTATCATGCTTTGGGGCTGCTCTATCACCTTAGGAAAAACGACCGCCTGGCTGTCTCCAAGATGTTGAACAAATTCACCAAATCCGGCCTGAAATCCCAATTTGCCTACTGCATGCTGATCAGGATTGCCAGCAAACTCCTCAAGGAATCCGAGGAGGGGTAAGGATTGAAAGAGGCAGGATTGAAATCAAAGGAATTAATTAAGGTTTGGAAACGGCAGCGGGTTTTTTTGGTGGAAATCTCCACAGAGACACAACTGTAGGGATGGGATAATGCATGGGATCAATCTTAAAGGGGTTTTGCAGCCTAAAGGAACCTGGGATCGTTGTGTTTGTAGCCAGGAAAGTCTTGGACTGGATCTTAAAGGGATTTTTCCAACCTAAAAGATACTGGGGTCTTGTTTGTAGCCAGGAAAGTCTTGGATTCAAACTCAAAGAGGTTTTCCAACCTAAAAGATTCTGGGATTGTTGTGTTTGTAGCCATGGCTGTTTTAGACTTGAACTTAAAGGGATTTTTCCAGCCTAAAATCCTGGGATCGTTGTGTTTGCAGCCATGAAAGTCTTGAACTTGATCTTAAAGGCTTTTTCCAACCTAGAAGATCCTGGGATCATTGTGTTTGTAGTCAAAAAGGTCTTGGACTGCATTTTAAAGGGATTTTCCAATCTAGAAGATCTTGGGATCGTTGTGTTTATAGCCAGGAAAGTCTTGCACTTGATTTTAAAGGGATTTTTCCAACCTAAAAGATCCTGGGATTGTTGTGTTTGCAGCCATGAAAGTCTTAAACTCGATCTTAAAGGGATTTTTCCAGCCTAAGAGATCCTGAGATCATTGTGTTTGTAGTCAGAAAGGTCTTGGACTGGATCTTAAAGGGAATTTTCCAACCTAGAAGACCCTGGGATCGTTGTGTTTGTAGTCAAAAAGCTCTTGGACTGCATTTTAAAGGCTTTTTCCAACCTAAAGGATCCTGGGATTGTTGTGTTTGTAGTCCTGGCTGTCTTAGACTTGAACTTAAGAGGATTTTTCCAGCCTAAAATCCTGGGATTGTTGTTTGCAGCCATGAAAGTCTTGAACTTGATCTTAAAGGCTTTTTCCAACCTGAAAGATCCTGGGGTCATTGTGTTTGTAGTCAGAAAAATCTTGGACTGGATCTTAAAGGGATTTTCCAGCCTAAAGGATCCTGTGATTGTTGTGTTTGTAGCCAGGAAAGTCTTGGACTGCATTTTAAAGTCTTTTTGCAGATCCTGGGATTGTATTTGTAGCCAGGAAAGTCTTGGACTGGATCTTAGAGGGATTTTTCCAACCTAAAGGATCCTGGGTTTGTTGTGTTTGTAGCCAGGAAAGTCTTGGACTGCATTTTAAAGGGATTTTTCCAACCTAAAAGATCCTGGGATTGTTGTGTTTGTAGCCAGAAAAGTCTTGGACTGCATTTTAAAGGGATTTTTCCAGCCTAAGAGATCCTGGGATCATTGTGTTTGTAGCCAGAAAAGTCTTGAACTCGATCTTAACGGGATTTTCCAACCTAGAAGATCCTGGGATTGTTGTGTTTGTAGTCCTGGCTGTCTTAGACTTGAACTTAAGAGGATTTTTCCAGCCTAAAATCCTGGGATTGTTGTTTGCAGCCATGAAAGTCTTAAACTCGATCTTAAAGGGATTTTTCCAGCCTAAGAGATCCTGAGATCATTGTGTTTGTAGTCAGAAAGGTCTTGGACTGGATCT